CTATGAGAACAGGCTGAACAGGGTTGTTCAGCCTGGAGAAGAGAAGGCTCCGGGGAGACCTTATAGCAGCCTTTCGATATCTGAAGGGAGCCTACAGGAGAGCCGGAGAGGGACTCTCTCAGGAAGTGTAGTGATAGGATAAGGGGCAATGGTTTTAAATTGGAAGAGAGGAGATTTAGATGAGATACTAGAAAGAAATTCTTTACTGTGAGGGTGGTGAGACACTGGAACAGGTTGCCCAGAGAAGCTGTGGATGCTCCATCCCTTGCAGTGTTTAAGGCCAGGCTGGATGGGGCTTTGAGCAACCTGCTTTGGTGGGAGGTGTCCCTGCCCATGGCAGGGGGGTTGGAACCAGATGATCTTTAAGGTCCCTTCTATGATTCTATGAAATCTAATGATTAATTGGATTTTTGTAATCTTTCTGAATGCTGACCCCTTGAGGGAACTAAATGGAAAATGCAGTGCTGCTCTTAGTACATACGTAAAGAGCCACCAAACATCAGGAAGTGCTTTCTATCCCTGCCCTGCCAGCAATGGAAATTGGAGTCAAATTGCGGATTAATGAGATAATCCTCATGAGCAGATGCTAAATGCCCCTCAGTTAGAAACCACCAAACAGAGCAAGTTAGAACAAGGAGGTCTTGAATATAAAAAACACCAAGGAAGCACCAAAGCCCTAGAAGCTACTGTACCTGTTGCACACAAGTGGAAGAGCAGGCAATCAGCTTATATAGCCTTCTGCTCAGTCTTACCACTGATTTTGCAATGCGTATTTTATAAAATAGAATTTTTATGTGCTCTTCCTGCTGGGGGCACAGTGTCCAATTCAAGAGTGGCTGCAATGCCAGGTTATAGCAGAGCAAGTGGCAGGCAGGCCGGGGTCCTCCAGGGAACATTTGTGGCAGCTCCTTGGAAAACATGCTCTCTTGAAGGGAAACACCGAAGCGGGACTGGGTTAGTCAGGGCTCTGGAGAATGACACTCAGCATCCTCATAAACCCAAGATTTCTCATTCTTTTGGGACATACGGCAGCTGTGTTTTCACATTATTCTTTCTCAGACAATTTCCAAAACGGAAGTTGATATTTGCGCAGTTAAAGACAAATATTCACATGCTGTAACTATTATCACAGGTACATTTGTTACCAAAGTCTTTTGTTGAATGAACGTTTTCTGATGTGTGCAGCTGTATCTGACATACAGCATAAACACCAGCAGATGCCATTTGTTGGACGTGCAGGCAGATAATCTGTATAAAACAGACTGCCCCTATCAGCCTGCACAAACAGCTCTTTACTTCTTTTTCTTTTTTTTTTTTTCTTCCAGTCTGGTAGGATGGTCATTGTTTTTAGAAGTTTTAAAGCTCTGGGTTGTTGTTTTTTTTCATCTCACTCTAATCCTTATTAATAAGCGTTCAGTACGCTAGTTAGTTTTATTTTTAAAAGTCATCAAATTTGGCCCAAAGCAGTGTTTTGGCTTTATATTCTTTAACAATTAGTATTACTCACTGAAGCACAAAATTATCACGCATTGTATTTCTTAAAAGCCCAAGTTCGTTTTTAACTTCTTCTCCCTCAAATATATATTATTGTGCACATAATCCCACAATGCAGAAGACAAAAGACAGCCTAGGAACTGTAGTCACATCTGTTTCATTTCTCCTCTGGTGAATTAGGAATTTTTCTAAATGTAATATATAGAAAAAAAGAGTGCGTAGAACAAACTTCTTGATCTCAACCTGCAGTCCCTCCTCCTGATACTCTGCAATTCAGAAAAAGTTACTAGAACTTCACCACAAAAAAAGAGTGAATACACAGCCTATACATATAAAAATTCTATCTTCAAAATGGTCTCCCTTTTATCCAAAAAAAGGGAATGAAAAGGAGCAGTGGTCAACCTTGGAACCTTGCATATGTGTAGTAAGTACAGTCCTACTGAGTGCAGTTTTTCTCTGAATATTCACTGCAGGTGCTTGGTGGCTGCTCTCCAAGTATCACTGATGGAGGTATTAGCAGATGGGTCCTGCTAGAATGCATTGGGATTAGCAAACACAGTGATACCTCCTCAGTATCCAGCTCCCAATGGGTCTTAACAGACCCTGCTATTCATTCTGACACGTCTCTCTGCAATACGGCCATGCCTCCACACCGAATTCTAAGCAAACTCAAAATAACCTCAACCTGGATGCTTTTCTGTCCAGCCTGCTCCAGATGATCCTGCTTTGGTGTGTGGGGGGGTTGGATGAGAAGATCGGTGAAGGTCCCTTCCAACTCCTACCATTCTGTGACTCTGTAAAACAAATGTTTCAAGTATGTTCCTGGTTCTGTAACAATCTTAGGGAGAAACAGTGAATGCCTGTCAGTCTCCTTCAAAAGAGGAAGAAAGGGGGACACCAAGGTTTTATTTGTTCAGTCTCATGATTCCAAAAAAGTGGTTTTGATATTGCAGAGTACTTTCACGAGAGAGGCATGACAACTAGAAGCCAAAAAGCTCCAGACATTTTCAGTGCAAAAATCTTAAACATTGATCTCATGTCTGAAATACAACTCAGTAATTCAGCTAACACTGCCTGTAGCCGCGTATCAGCGGCCTTCCTTGACACGAAAGATGCTGAGAGAAGACTGACATGACATAACATTAGGATAATCAGCTTCTAGAAAAGCAAATAAATGTGCACGCATGAAAGTATGCAACTTGAGCTGAACGTCATTAGCACATCTCACGAGAGCTGATTAATGCAGCCACTACAATGAAGCAACATTTAGTGAAATAGTTGAAATAACGTAACAATCACAGCTCAAGCATCAACTTGCGTTAAGATGTGATGACACTGAAATTCTGAACAGCTGATACTTGACAGCAGCAAGATTTTTAGGCATCCATGGATATTGAATCACTTAATATAGCACGCTAATAAAATATTTTTCTAACTTAAAATTAGTAACAGAAAATACAAAAACGAATCCTAGTGAATAGCTGAAAATGCTTTGTAGATCAGACCATTAAAAGATTATACATTTGACTTACATTTGACTGCCATACATGCAGAAATTGTTTCTGGAGGAACACTCATTAATACAATCACATCAACCTAACAAATATGAGTACAGATGAAAATTTCAAATATAGGCTTAAATAGCAAATTAAACACACACAAAAATGCATGACTCTAACAAGCAACAAAAGCCTAGAATGGCAGGATGTTTTGAGCACTCCCTAAATTCTCCAAATACCAGAAACCTGCATTAAATGCAACAGTTTATCTTTTAGGAAATGCTGCTTTTGTATCTAGTATGTTAGTAAATAATTGTAAAGCTGCTTCTCAGTATTTTCTGACAGATCCTGCTGTGCATTTTCTCCCCTGGATTACATAACCTGCGGAATGCAGATCAAGGACACGACTGATGATCCTTCTGTAATTAAAGCTCCCTAATGCTGCCAATATGAGTTCTACACAAAGAGCTATGTAAAAAGTACCTTGCCCTTTTCTGAGCCCTTACAATCTCTTATGCAGGCAGCAATCACAAGCCATTAGAGGGAAGGACAGAATGTAATTTACTTGTACTTTTGAGAAGAAACTGGAAGATATTACTCAGCTAATTTCAAAACTGGTCATATCTGCAAACAATCCTCCTTATATATCCAACACATTCTTACACAAGTTCCCCAAAGGGATTAATCAACCATAATAGCAGATTCGTAGGTTTAACCTAAAAATTAACAACAACAACAACAACAAAAAGTTATGAGGCAGACAATTTTGCAGGCATCTTTAATACAGACCAAAGGAAGTTTATTTCTGCCTCACCACATTCTATCGTTAATACTGGAAACAATAGATTCCAGAGATCTCTATTTAAAAGATGAAGCCTGTGCCTGTTTGCACGGTAGTTGACCTGCATAGTTAATTTATAACAATCAATCAGTAGCAAAGCTGCTGCAAAATGAACAACCCTTGAATACAGATCACATAGAATATTAATTTCAGTAATAATTAAGTACTCGGAGGCTTGCATGTAAAGAGACTAATGTATTATACATCTCACATTATGCTGTGAGAGGTTAGAGGACTCTGAAGCCTTACAAGACAGAATCCATAAATGTGCATATTGCATTACCAAGAGGGAAAACAAAGACTGAATCTCTAAGACACCCAAACCCAAGATCAACCCAGACAAATGGGGCAGACAGCTTCCAATGTAAAGCCACTCTTTGAAAGCAAACAAACTGTATCTGGACTATTTAAACATTTAGGGGGAAAAAAAAAAAAATCGCAAAAGTATCTGCAATGTAATACTGCAACTCACAGATTATCAACATATACTGAAATGAAGTTTCCTCCTCTTACAGATAAAGGTAACTGAAGAGACACATATACTGCTGGTTTAATCTATAAATACATCTAAAGGGATGACACACTAGTTTCAAAAATAACTGCTCTCAGGCAACTTAAAAAAACAAACAAACAAACCCAAAAATGAGAAAAAAAAACCAAATCCAAACAAAACAAACAAACCACTACCCAACCCTTTTTGGCATTTTCAGTTGTTGATGCATTTTCAACACGTTCCCACTTTCAGTCTTTCAGCCCAAGCTGAATTCTGTCATTTAACAAAGTCAGCAGTTAAAGAGAAAAAAAGATGTCACCTCTTCATGTGTGTATGTAGACAAAGCTTTGTGTACAAGAGAATTCATGCCTGTTCTTCTATAATCCATGCCCTGGAGGTATAGTACACACAGGGACAACTACTAATTTTGAGTGAACATTTATGAGGAAGACTGTGAGGAACTGTTTATGACATTAACTGTACACAGTTCAGATTTTTTTGGTAAGGCGAACTGGAAATTTCTGCAGAAAAAGGTAAGAAGAAACAAAGCTAAGTAAGTTCTGGTAAGTGAAGATGGAAGATTTCACATATCAAAATTTCTTTTAGTTACAGGGATGACCTTAATAGTAAGTCTTGAACCTACAGCTGAGAGACCGGACCAAAGAGCACAATATAATGTTTCTTTAATTTTAATAAGGGAATTATGAAAGTAACTAGAGGCCTCAAATACTTCAGGTTTTAAGTTTTACAAACATCACCACAAAAAAGTAAACAAGCAACACAGACTTTCACCCGTATATGATTGAAATAATGCATATGCAATAGTGCTTGTGGAAACACTGAGACAGACACCGGGAACAAGCCAGGATGTCCTGTCTGGCTTCAAGCTGCTGCTTTAGAAGGACACAGATCTTCTGTGCATCTTGTGTTATTCCTGCTAGTCCTATGAAGACGTTGAAGGGTATGGCAGAAAATCTGAAGTGGCATCAAATGTGCTAGCATCTAAATGTCACTCAAAGATATGCAATCTGGTTTATGACAAACTTCAGAAAACATAGTTCAATTTAAATATTCATACATGTACCTGAATGCCTAAAAGTCACTATTTTAATGAAGTTAAAGGCTATGGATGTGGGCATCACAACTACAAACGTGGCAGCGTATGAACAGTTTGTAAAACCATAAGTACATCCATCCATTACAAACAGTAGCGTATACTCCAAGTGAAGAATGACTTGATACTGAATCATACACCGATATTGTAACCAGCTGCATCTTTTTCTTCTGATACTGGACACTAGTTCTTTGGTCAGTCTCTTATGCTAATGCTGTAAACACTCCTATTTTTCTTTCCTTCTGTTCTCCCTCCCACAAGGTGGCGATACAAGAAATTCCCTATGTAACTCAGACTCATATTTTATAGCAAGGTACAGATTTTTTTGAGGAAATGGAAGTCAAGAAAGAACAGTATTTCAAACCCCTCCCTTCTCCTCTACCTCAGATACCAATAACTTACATAAAATTAATTCCAGAGAAGTACACCACCAAAACAATGGCTGCCACCAAACTATTTTCATAGCAACACATCTAGAAAGATATATAATGCAGTGTAATTAAACACACCTCTCCCTCCATGGCTCAGAGCACTTAGCTTAATACAGGAAATTCCAGATATTTTTTAGGTTTGAAAACACTGAAAAGCACAAAAGGCAGCTGACTGACCATTCGGGCTCCACAAAGGATACAGTACTTACCTTTAGAGAACATACTTTATTTAATAGAATTTTTTGCTCCAATATACAAAATAGGGGACTGTAGTCCCAATTAACATTTACATAGTTACACAGCAAATAATTTCCAACATTTAAAACAACTGACGACTTTCCCACACTCCCCACTGTATTATAGCCAAGAAAGAAATCCTATAATGTTTGACCTATAATGACAGTTCTTTTACATACCAATCCATTATATTTTGTACTTCCCTGCCTCTTTTCTTTTTTTTATGTTGCAGTTTCTGATATCACTTTAATTAAGAACTTACAATTATTCCAGCTGCACTAAAAGAAAAACGAAATATATAATTTGGAATACTATCTCAAAAACCCTATACAAAATAAAAGTCAGTATCTTATAAAAATACATTGCAGGAGTAAAACCAGTGAAACAACAAAAATGTTTTAAATTTTGTTAGGGTATAAAATATTCAACAACTACCCTCAGCTTTTAACTACACAAAAAAAGAAAAGAAACAAAAACAATAAAAAGGAACCCAAACATTTTCAATTAGCAAAAAATAATGTGACAGTTCTTTTACAACACTGTACCTTTAGTATGCAAAGGACTTCATCCTTCTTACATGCACCACTATCCAACTGATTCACCCCTTAACCTTTTTCCCACTGAAAGCTGAAAAAAGGTTTTAAAATTATTTGAATCCTTTAAGAAAAATCCAATCATGTTTTCTTCATCTCCCACAATATTTAAATATTAAGCTTTACTTTACAATGCTGGTAGTTTAATCGTAATACATAACTTTTATATAAAAGAATTCTAGCCAAACCAAGGCCTTAGAAAGTTTGCATTTTACAAAAGCAATTTGTTACAGCATGACAGTTGCTAAATAGCCCAATTTATTTAGTGACCCTGTTAAAGATTTGTTCAACTGAGTGAATAGGTGAAGTCATTTCCTGAGCTAAAAGATACAGGTAAGTAAATAGTCAGATATAGCAGCAGACAGGAGACATTCTTTTTAAAAGTTGCAACAGTATCAACACAATAACCTTAGAAAATTACAATAATGTAAAAATCACCAGCTGAAGAGAGAGTGACAAGGACATCCAAGACCTGATTGCCATAATCTGGAATGCACATCCCATGACCTTCCAGAAATTACATTCAGCTACTGTCAGACAACGTACTGGTAAGCGGAAGAATGTCAAATCACAATAGTTCACCTTTCTTACAGATCAGGTGTTTTGTCAAGATTTAATTCTTAATGCTATTGTTTCATAAACCTAAAGCAAGGTAAACTGCTTAGTTTTAGAAATATTCACTCTACAGGACTTAAATATTATTACTTTTAAAGGAATGTGGTATCTTCAGTCTCATGAAATTCCAAGCCTATTTCTCCTAATTATTCAGATGTAATTCATACTTGAGACCTTGAGAGGTTATTGAGATAGTCACCCATGCCACTGGGAACAGAAGTGGATCTATTTTTAGGAGACAGAATAATATTCTTAAAATTGTTTACTCTGATCCAAATCATTCTAATTTGCTTAGAGTTTGAACCATTAACAAATTATTAAAGAATTATAAAGACCAGTATACCACCACTGCACCATCATTTTCTAACCATATGCGTTCTTAAAGTCTTGTATGTAATAGCTTCATCACTTTTTTTTCCCCCCACCCATTAATGGAAGGAGGATATTCTAATTTTATTTAATAAAATACCTCATGTAGATACCAGTTCCTCCAGAAGGAAATCTCTCTTCTGTGTTATTAATTTTTCACAGATATTGTAGGCATTGTTTTTAGAATTTATATTGGCTCTTCGCTAACATTTAAACATAATTAGTTTAAATTCAAATTAATATATAAAATTTCCAATACTTGTTAGAATAAAGGACAATACACAAGATCCTAAGTTACAATAATTTATAAATAAAAATAAACTATTACAAACCAAATCTTTCCCCATACGGAGATTAAAAGCCATAATCTTGACTGATTGTTCCCGATCACACATTATAAATAACGTAAGCTTCTTCAGAGAAGCAAAACACACTTGCCTCCCTGACACCAGTTTATATCTTCAGTTAAACTACTACCATCAAGAAGGCAATTGTTGGGCCCAGATATATCTTCTTCCTTACACATTAATCCTCCCAACCTCATTCTTTTAAACTTAAGCACAGGGAAGTTCACAAAGAGTCCTTTATCTTTCATACACGAAGTCTGTATAAAATACAGATTTCTAATGCTCCTATTGCACCAATCTGGCAGTGCAGTTAGAACCTGATTCAAATTCCACTGAAGTCCATGAAAGGTTCTCCAGTGACCTTAAAGGGCTTTGAATTAGGATCACAGAGATAGTATTACCTAACGGAAAGCTCCTGCAAGAGTGGCTGGTATCTCTCTTTTTGCTTATGGGATGCAGTGGAGATGTGTAGTCAGCACGATACCTGAGCAAATAAAATGAAAATGATACAAAGGTTTTAAGAATCCCAAACTCTTTGCTTAGTCATGTGCAAACTGTGCTACTGCCCCTGGAGCTCCCTGCTTTCCTTTTTTTCAGTGCTTGCTCCACTCCAAGATAGAGAAGATGTGAGGCATCTCTTCACTAGTTCCCCCTCAGTCCCGAGACTGATAGAAGAGGATGTAACCAGACTCAGAGTTCTTTGAGATGTCTGATGTCAACCCGTAGAATTCTTCAATAGCTTGTGCATCAATTTTCTGTATGTAAAAACCCAAAAATTTAAAGTAAGAATATCTTGCATACACATGACATTAAGTTCCATGCTAAAAATTATTGGTGATAGATGAAGAACGTAAGTACAAACTCTCATTTCTAAGTCTAAGCAGTGTAAGCCCATCAAGTGCAGAGGAGAATAAAGGAGAACAAAGGCAAATTTTTTCTATGTTTTTCAGACAATGTTTGCTTGTGATCCTGTTGGTTGAGAAAGCCTCCTATAACCAAGATTTTGGGGGAAATATGCAGAAATTCTGTTCAGAAGGTGAAAAGACTATTTCCAGTTTTCATTGGCATCATTTTCGGCTACAGAAGAAACTGAAAGTAAGCTCTCTTGCCACATTTTAAATCAAAAGCAATTGGGCTCCAAACAACAAAAAGGCAGAAAGATAAATTTTCCTTCACTTAGATTTTATTTAATCTCATTCCCATTATTTGGAACAAAACCTCTCTCAGGAAGGAGTGAGCCATTTCAACATGATGAACAACGGGTCTAAAAGTCAATGAGATGTTTTAGATTTAACAACAAAAAGTTTCTTTCCTTCCTCTAAAGAAGGACTAAGAGAGAAAAATTGCATTACTGTTAGGTGTTACTGCTTTGGAACTGCAGAGATTGTCACTGATGTTTGTGAAATTATGTGAGATCTACTACAGCACTCTATTTTCCCTGGAGGAAAGTGAACTTTTTGACCCTACAGAGACATTTCAATTTACTGTGTATCTTGATAAGACACAGAGGCAATCCTACTACTTTTCTAACAGCTCTGTGTATTTCCATGTTTGTCATTTCCTGTGTATAAAAACGTTCATAATGTGGCTCGGAGATAAGAACTCTTCAATACCCTTGGCTGGTCCTGCCAGTTAACAATGTAAGTCCAATACCTGTCTCACCCATTTTTCTTCTTTTCAATTATGAAATTCTTGTGTGTTATAATGAAAATATAAAATATTCATTTTGTAGATTTAATTAATTCAAATAAAGTCAGGAAAAGGACCTGGACAGCACAATCATACTTCTGTTCATGCATAAGCATAGACAAGAGGGGAAAAAAGGAAGATGACAGAACACGCAAAAAACCTGAGATGATACTATAAAGGGACACCAGTAGTTTTTGCTCTTTCTCTCAATAAACAATAAAAGATAACTGATGAAACAGAAAGATGACAAATTCAAAACTAGTGAAGGGAATTCTGCTGTTCCAAGAAATTAGCTCCTGGAAGCATGGCTAATATTAGCAGGAATACCATCAGAGGCAAAAGGCTCCTGTTTCAGGGATTAAGTTTTACATTTTAGGGCAAAATCTCAAAAATCTGAAGTTGCTTCCTATTTTGATACACCTTTGTCTGAATGCTCAGTAAAACAGACTACCAGACTGATACATTCCATTAAATCATAAGCTCTTAGAAAATAGAGACAAACAGCTTGCTCCAACAAACTGCCCTCAGAGAAGAACTGCAGTAAAACCACTTTACCTATATCTTTATTTGCCACGTCTTCTGGTCACAGGAATAGCTTATCAAACAAAGGTGAAAGACAGTGGCCATAAACAAAGAAGCTTCTTTCAAGAAGTATAAAAACCAAAATGCAATTCAAAGTACTTTACAGTCAAATTGTAAGGCACAGCTTTGCACCCAGTTATTGCTCATTTAGATTGGGGTTTAACCTTCATTTCATTAGCATATCAGTCCTTTTACTTTAAGTATCCATACACACAAGAGGGGTGCATGCACTCTGGTTGGTACGAGAAAAAAAGCAGGGTTACACAAAGCTTACCTCAACAATATCATCATCAAAAAGCAACCAAAAATCATGACTCTTCACTATTGCAATATAATGTCCTCTGTTAGGGCCACTGTAAAATAAAATTAGAAAAGAACACAGACAATAACACGTGTATGTAAAAATGTATTTCATTAAATTGTTTTTTTCTTGTATATTTAACAGTAATTAAAATGGCTACCAGTATAATTTCTGTTTGGATGTTTCTTTTCTTTTTTCCCCTCCACTTATATCATCTTCATAATGAGGTCTTTCTTATCTCTACATTTGATATATTGTGCTAAAAAATGGATTATAATTTCAACTGAGGAATAAGCAGCACAGGCATTGAAAATAAAATTATATTTAAAAGAAAAAAAGAGACAGAGAAGTGAAATCAAGAAAGAATTCTGATGTTTCATAGGGACAGAACAGATTTCAAACTATTTCTGATCTTAAGAAAAAGCTGTACAAATGCTGTTTATTTACATTCTCACTCAGGAATCCTTTTATCTGGTCCACTGTAAACAAAAACTGAATTGAACTGACAGTTTAGAAGTCTCCAGAACCCTCACAGCCATAAGAAGAGCTCCCAATTAATGAAAACTGTTATAATGCACAGCTCTAAAGTTCATGGCAGACAAGAAATTTCTCCACAACAGAAAAAAAAAAATCCAACTTTAAAAGTGTCCTATTTCTAATCAGATTTCATGTAAGGAAGTAACACCCTTTCTGAAATAGCTGAACCTTATAACCTAAAGTGGACAACTAGTTAAAGCAGTTCTGGAACTGCCTTAACCGAATAACAGCACTCATGCAGTTTTCATGTCTCTATCAGGGAGGGAAGGTTGTCACCTGTGAGGGACAGGCCTGTGTACCACATCACACAACCAAATGAAAACAGGGTCCATTTCTTGCCATGGCTCTGGGAATGGGTAAGTTTCCAAGATTGCAGCTTTAACGAGGGAGACTGAAATGGTCAGAATTGGACAGAACGGTCAGAAATGGACAGGTTCTATTTTCCCTAAAATCTAGAACGAGAGTGTCCCAGAAGACTATGGGACAAAGACTTATTTTCCGAAATTGTCCTGGCCAACTTGAAATCTACTCAACTTACTTCTACTCTAATCCTAGCTCTATGCAGGGAGGAATGGGGGTGGAACAAAGGGCAATAACTGGCAACTAGAGGGCAGGTCTGCCATTTTGAGGGACTTCAAAAAGTTGGAAGGATGGACTGATAAGAACCTCATGAAGTTTAACAAGTATGAATGCAAAGTCTTGTGCCAGACTAACTCCATCCAAGAGCATCAGCTGCAAAACAGCTGGGTAGGTAGGCCCAGGGGATGAGTAAGTCGAGCCGTTAGCCAGCAGTGCATCATTTCAGTGACAAGGCTGAGTGTATGTGGGGCTGTACTGTAAGAGTAGAGCCAGCAGTGAAGTGATATTCCTCACCACTCTGCATGCTGGAATCCATAACTGAGCATGAGATTCTGGGCATGACCTCTCCAGTAGAAGGGAGAGATGATACTCTGGAGGAAGTCCAGTGGCAGGCCACTACATTTGTCAGAGGGCTACAGCACCAGACGGATGAAGAGAGGCTGAGGGAGCTGGCTTTATTCAGCCTGGGGAAGCCTAAATGGGGAATCCAGCTGCTGTCTTTCCCTACCCAAAACAGAAGAGCTACTAAGAAATCAGTGCCAGGCTCTTCTCAGAAATGCACAGCGGAAGGACAAGAGGCAGTGGTCACGAACTGCAACAGGTAAAATTCTGACCAGACTTAGGAGGGGGGAAAAAAAAGCCACTGTGAGAATACTGACAAACTGGAACAAAGTGCCCAAAGGGGCAGTGAAATCAGCATTCCTAGTCATGAAACCGAGCCCAGTGCAACCTCATCTAACATCGAAGCTAGCCCAGGGAGGTGGTTGAGTCACCGTCCCTGGCTCTGTTTAAGGGACGTTTAGATGCGGTACTGAGGGATATGGTGTAGGGGAGGACTTTGTAGAGTAGGGTAGATGGTTGGACTCGATGATCCCAAGGGTCTCTTCCAACCTCGATTCTATGATTCTATGACCTCACAGTGTAAATTACTCTGATTCTAGATGTTAAATCATCATTTTCAACTTTGGGGCTCTTATCTACTCAATAAACACTTTGTAGAGCAGCCTTAATTTTAAGACTTGAAGCCACAAGAACATTTATTGTGTATAACAAAATCAAATACAAATCAAAACAAAATATTCTACAAAGCTCATAATATATGGATGTATTTCTGTTGCTCAACCTTTAAAAAAAAAAACATAACACCCTAAAGGAGATGCTTTATAAAGAGATCTGTTTTATAATGCTTTCCTTCCTAAGAAATTTTTTAAAAAAAAAAAACTTTACATTTTATTAGTTATATGACATTGAATGTTTTGTGGGTTTTTTAAAAACATCATGAATTTCATACAAAGGTCTGTCATGAAATACAGTGATACCACTTTTCACAATGAACTATCATGGGAATAAAGCCATATTTTCTGTCAGGATTGGTAGTATCTTCCCACAATACTTTCTTTCCTAAGAAGCTTTTCTTTTAAGAAGTCTTTAAATGCTATTAGAGTGATGTGATATTAAGTCTTTTGTTTTTTAAACATAGTTAACCTTGTACAAAAATTTCTTGTGTAAAATAGAGTTATTACCTTCCACAATGAACTACCACAGCAACAAGGTCATACATTCTGTCAGGATTGGTGGCATCTCCTGAGGTGTTAAATAAACGAAGCTCTAAAGGAAAAACTACTCTATAAGAGAGTTTTGTGTATCGATGCAGCTGATCCATGTACTTAAATCTCTTCAAATGGAGAGCTAGAATCATAGGCAGCTTTTTTACTTTCATCCTGAAAAAAAAAACAAACAACAATCAACAGTATTTCCAATATCCAGCCCAAACATTCAGTTGGTATCAACAAACAGGAAAACTGTCTTACGGAAGTCTTTAAAATTTTATGCAAGTATTAAAAGATGCTCAAATAATCAGCTGTTTAACAAATATTGAACATGTGTTGCTAAAGGCGGACTTTAACGCTGAGACTTGCAAATGTACTAAAAAAAATAAGCTACAATATATAACCATGATGAACCCACACAGTAATTCAGACATAATGACTGCACAGCACAGAATTCAATTTTTAAACATACCTCCCCATAGCTTTCCTGTTACCAAAACCCAAACCTACATCCCAGTTGGTATACAGTGGAGGTGTTGCAACAAAGTTGTTCCAGAGATCCTGTTCCAGTTGAATTTCTCAGTAAACCAGCCAAGTCAAACAAGCTTTTTAGAATAGGCTTTGTTACACCACTTTGTAACGTACGTATTACTCCAAGTTTTCATATCAAGCCGTTCATTTAACATCTCCAAGGGATACGAATAGGTCACTGTTATTCACCTTACCTCATGCTACCCAAACAAGATAATGCTATGCTCTAGCACAATAATTTTGTACAAATGTTGCAGCATTATTTTATGGCAGTCAGAGACAGAAAGTGATAATCTAGTTTTACTGATGGCTCACTGGCCCCTTTTCCTAGTTTGAGGTATTGAGATCTCGCATCAGTGCCTGCAAATCCTCAGCTACAGCTGGCCTGGCAGCAAACACAGACGTCCACTCTCTGGGCAATAAATTTGCCCATGCTAAGAGGGCAATGAAGCTGGAGTGTTCTGCTTCTTGGCACAGCTAATTGCCTTAGACCAGCACTCTGCTGAATTTTTCAAACTGCCTCCAGCCCCAAAAGACAGCTCAAAGATCTCCTCCACACAGCCCAGGTTTCAGACATGTCTACTAAGACCACATTTTCAGAATGTCAGGAAATATGATTGCACAAGAGAATCCTTTTTCAAAAGACAGGGGACTGGGGACAAAATCCTTGAAAACTCATCTTTCTTCCCTTTTTCTCATTAAACCTAGACTGACAGTAACCTGTAGGAAACCCTGCTAGCCTCAGATTTTCTCCACAGCCCACAAGGGAACCAGGAATTGAAAAAAGCTGCAGAAGAGCAGAAAGATGACAGAAGCAACTATTTTTAGGGGGAGTTACATTTTTATTATATTACTGAGATGCAGATATAATTTCTGCTCTATTTCTATTTTCAAAATGAAAGTCCTCTTCTCATAATGCAACTGCATTTGATAATAGGAGCTCTTTCACTGCTGAAGAAAGTCAGTATACCCACCTTGCTAGCTGACACTATCACAGATAAACTCCGTGTTATAGAGGTGTGATAAAATTATGACTGTAGTGAAACTGAACTTAAGCCCCACATGAAAAGCAAAATATAAACACAAAAAGCTGTGTTTTGCCAATATGGCAGTGCCTACAGTACAGGTTTATGTCAACACAGCTTGTATTGGTCAGGGATCACATTACCTCCCACACAGAAACAAGAGTTAAGGCAACAGGACAGACCTGGCTTCACCACCCTCTAATCCACACCAATTAGTAAGCTCAGGCAATGTGTGAAGGCAGACTTTGCACATGAGATATGCCAAAAACCATGTGCTAAATTTGTGGTAAACCAAATAACAAGAATCAGTGGTATAACCAGTAAAGCCTGTCAGTGTTCCCATCCCTTCAACTCATCTATAAGCAGCCAAATACTTTCTCAGAGAATAAATACCACACAGTACACAAAATCATAGGTTTTTCAAAGGTGTAAACAAGACTAGAAGAATTATTAGGCAGACAAGAATTGTTTTTAAACATAATGAATTTCAGGCTTCTACAGAGCTTCGAATATTTTTTTGGAACACTGTTAAGCAGAAGTTTAGCACAACTAACTATGCACTTGTAAGAAACCAGAAACTCAGCTAACAGAAAAATTGACAAGCCTTATTCTGACTGGATTAGAAAAAAAGTGCTATCCAACTGATTCTTAAAGCAATTGGAAAAACTATTTTATTATCAAGACAAAACCAAGTTTAAAAAGTCATGTGAAATCAGTGACTTTTCATGATTACCCATAATCTTTGATTATTCACTGGTAATTTGTTTTAACTTGTCTTTTTAACTTAGTTTTGGTCTTAAGACCATTCTTTTTCACATTTGTAAAATAAATTCTGATCAAAGGACTCCCAAAATGCTTTACATAGATTCATTATTCACTGAAGTAGGTTCATTGAATTCAACAAGAGGAATGCAAACAAGCTACTCTTAAATGTAAGGACAGTTAGAAAAATTAAGGGGAAAAATAACATTCTCCCTCTGCCTCATGCACACTACACAGGGAAATACACACGTATCTTTATGAAATGCATGGGTTACTTTTTTCCCTCTCTTGAGTTTGAGGTACCTTTTATGTGCTTCTTGCTTACTGCGACATTCTTCACAGTAATATTTGTATTCACTGCACAGAGTTTCTGTATTGCTGAAACCCTAAAATTAAAAAAAAAAAAAAAAAGAAATGCTATAGATACTAGTTTCTTATCTGAACTATACATACAAACAAGTACAATATAAACATAATTTTATACTCAAGACTAAATAAGATAAAATTTGCTAAGCTTGTGAGCTTTTAGTTTTACTTCTACCTTTCTAGCTAATAGATAATAGACAAATTACAAAAATTCAGATTTTCGTGTCTACCTTAAACAATGAGTGATTGAAGTATTCTGCTCCACATCAACTGAAAGGTCTAAAAAGTCTTCATCTTTGCTGCTTATCTGCAGGGAAAAAAGAACCAATAGATTATAGTTAAAAATAGTTATACTGATTTACCTTTGTTTTTCAGTACCATTCTCTATTGACAGAATGCATCTTTGACCTTATAACAGCCTTTTAAATATTGTTACAAGTGGCCTTTCTATTTCAGAGATTTGCTAGATCTCTGTTTCCGATTTTGTTCAGGAATAGGGAAGTGTCTATGTGTCTGTGGGGCTGTATAATACCAGTTGTCATTATGCTGTGATTTCAGCTCAACAATATTAACACCGAGTTCTTTCTACACCTCACTCTTTTCAAAAGAATACAATTACTAGGATTCTTCTATTTATTGCTCTCACCTCTGTTCTTCCCCTATGATTGCCTCCAACTGAAAGTTATGTATTTGCATATTACAGTGTCCCTAATAAAGAGTACAAATACCTTGAAGCCTCCTCCTGCCTAAATTCATACTTTTAAATGAGATGCAGATTGCAAATTTGTTGGTAAATGAGAGCTTGGAATTTGGTCTGATGAAGGCAGAATAGCGTATAGACATTTCTTACAAAAATGCAAGACTAACAAAGTAAAAAATAAATTCCTAGAATCAGACAATAATTCCATCACAAATCCTGACAAATGGCGATGGACAAAATCCACAGCTGCCCTGAAAAACCAACTATGTTATTAAAATGTTTAGGAAATGGCAATCTACAACCTTAACTTTTGCCTGCTAGTATTTCCTCTCTGTATCTAGAGATACTCAATGCCATGGATGAGAATGTCCTCTGCCTTTTATGACTCCTAGGTACAGAAGTAAATGCTTTTAGAAAAGATGCCTGGGTACAGTTTCTTGATTGAAAGCAGGAAAAGTTAAACAGCTACAGGAGAACTAAGGTCAGTTGATCTTTAAAACATGAGATTCATGTTCCCTTTTCAACTCAGAATAAAAATATATTTGGAAAATTGTTCTCTGATTATTATAAGATGAGAAACACACGGTTGCTAAGGGCAGCATACATAGAAAATAAAAAGAAAAATACAGGTGGCCAAGAAAACTATTTTTGAGAATTAATATCCCATTGCAAACCACTTTCAGAATTATCAAACTTGTGTTTACAACACTAAGAATTCTGGTGGAAAACATCTTAGCCTAGGGATTAAGAACAGCTCAGAAAAAAAAAAAATCGGTTCTAGAAAATACTCTGCTGCAGTCTTCAGCTAGGACAGCTGGAATTTAGGAGTCACGTGATCAGCGTTATTCAGACATGCAATTAGATAATTCTTCTTCTCCTGGTCTAATCAAAGAAAACTCCACGAAACAATAAAGATTTCACAGGCAGCTTTATCCCACGCAGAAGCTCTAAGGGCGGGGAAGAGACAGAGAAGAGGAAAGAGATGTGTTGTACTTGGTTAAAAAACGATTGGTACTGAAACCAGAAGTTCGCAAAGGAATTCTTCAATTCTTAGTGATAATACTAATACTGCCTTAAAGAACCTCTCTCAGGTTAGCGAGTTGCACCTAGGATCATGAAGAACCTTTAAAGGCTTTATTGAAAGAATAGCCAAGTGGATTTTTTCCATCTATGTTGATAATTTAGAAATTGTTATTCTTAATTTTTAAAATTTTTTTGAACATTAGTATTCAAACAGTACTTTTTTTTTCAACATTAACTCATACAGTTTTAATTTAAAAAAAGAAGAAAGATTAAAAAGAAGTCACATTCAACTCAAACCATCCCCTCCCCTCCATCCCCCACTCCCCTTTCTGTAGAGGTTCTCTTTCAAATAAACATCCCTAGGTTCCTTAGATTAAAGTTACCAATGCTATGTATGTCAATCATCTATAGAATGAAAAAAAGACTGACATGGTCAGAAATTTCATCACTTGCGGAATCAAGCCCTGATGTGTTCAGGAAGCCATCTGAGCGCTCCTAATATGAGCATCTCCATAACAGTGAAGAATTTGCGTGTTCCAGTTTTCTGCCTTAAAGTGCTGGCATGTTGTACGCCCATCAAGGATGTAATCTACACTCAAACAGCTCAGCTGTACTCTGATGATCAATGCCACACAGAACAGAAAACTCAGAAGGCTAACATTCATGGAATCTCTATTTCTTTCCGTTTGGAATTTCACTATAAAAGTGAATCAGCTCACTGACAAAAAAGTTTTTGCAACTCAAGGCTCCCATGTGTGATAAGACAGAAACAATTTTTAAATGAAGTTGAAACAAAGGGCATGATTTATCTTGGTTTCAAAAAAAAAAAAAAAAAGAGAGGAAAAAAAAAGTAGGTCATAGCTAAGGCTTCTATAGTACTCTTGTAAGAAAGACCACTGAAATTCTCCTCACTGCCTTTTCTCAGTCCAAAGTAGAATTGAAACAAAGATTTTTATGCCTTGTAGTGTCATTTGAACACAAGACCGAGATTATCAGCTGAAGAAAAACATTATTGATGTGTCTGGTGCTTTTAACCCGAGACAATTTCCCATTTTTCTCTATAGAAGTACTGCCCACATTTAGGCATTTCAAATTTAATCTTATTGAAGTCAATAACATTATTTTCTATTATTCTTTCCTTAAATTGTGAGAGAAATCTGTAGTATCAATGAACTTCTAGATCATTTTTATCAATTAGCCACAAAAATTTGTAATATTTATGTCATCATACTGTCTCTAACAAGCAAGGGGTAAATTATGACAACAAGAAATCACATCAAAAGCATGTAAGGACAACTTATAATCCATTTTGTAACCTAATTATTTTACACTGTGGCTTGACCCATGACACAAATCCTTGTTAAATAATTGTATCTATGTTCCTTATATTGCACTGTCCATACTTAAACGAAGGATAAACCTTCGGTCAAGGAACACTGAGTAGGTTTGGCCAGTTAGAAGATAATCATTCTCACTTGCAGCAAAGAGATATCATGCTTTGTATGAATGAAGTATGCATTAAGCTCCAAATTTAAATAAAAAATATACTAAGGTTATTGTCTCATCATTAAGAAGCACTAAACCATCTGCATTTGCTGCGTAGTCTTCTACATAAGCTATATCCAAGTACTCCTGACATTTCAAGTTATACTTCTAAACACAGAAAGACTCTGAACGGCAACAGCTTCCAATGAACATTAAAAAAATCATAGGTGCTCACTGTATTTGAAAGTAAGACACTATTCACAGTAGTATTGCTTATTTAATGCGTTTAAATGTCTTTCTAAGTACCCATTTTCAGGTCTCTGTGCTTTAATTAGACACAAGCTGATGTATGGAATAGACAGAAACCAATAGGGCTTGGAAAAGAAAGGCACTAATACACTGAATCAAGTATATTAGAACACTGAATTTAAAGTTCAACTGCACAAGCAGGCACGGTGGCAGACAGGCACGGTGTATCCTATTCAGCAACAGCTAACAGAAAAACAGAACTAAGCAATATTATTAAACCTTACAAAATTGTGATAGGCCTGGTAACTAATAATGCTGGCAAAGAGTATATCAGCATTTTAAAAATGTATTAAGGACTGTACCCAGATCAAAATTGTGACAGTGGTAATTCACTATGCCATAGTGAGGAAAGGTAATGAGGTCAGTCTTGTTAAGAGACTAAGCTAAACTCATGCTTCAAGAAGAAAAAAAAAGAGTTCAAGAACTAGAAGAGAAGCAATTCACAGTTGCCATGGAATAGTTATTTGGGAGGAGAAATCTACCAGAAAAAAAGAGAATGGTAGCTAGAAATCAACACCTAAATTACTCAAAATAAAAAGATCTACTGAAGTCTGCAATTATATTACATACAACATTAAGAAGCTATTTTCTTTGAAATGAGAGAGGTGGGTCTTTCTCGAAGACGGATAAAATTATATGTGAAATATATAGATTTAATCTGATTAACTCCTCCTTTCCAATGTCATGCTGAAATGTGTGCATTACCTAATTAAGGAAAATAGGTATGAAGAGTCATAGCAAAATACAGTCATTTAGCTTTTTACACTATCTAAGGCATAAATCATGACAGAATTACTGTAATTTTCAAGTTGTGCTGCTTTTTCTTTTTCTCAAGAAGGTAAAATTCAATTATGAGTTTCTCTGAAATATATGCTTTCTCTTATTGTAGAAGAAAATTTTAGTACAGCTTAGTCAAAGAAGGGATTTATTTCTCAGGGACTAGTATTAGAAGAATTTCTGTGGACAGACATTTAAGAAAGGATTACTTTTCCAGCACATTAAGTTATGTTCTTTGAGAATCCCAGTCTACTGTCTCAGTGCCAAAAGCCAACCACAGTATCTTGATTTCAATGGCTTTAAATTAAAAAAAAAAAAACCTAGAAATAGGTGGAAACTGGTTCAGAATACTTATTTATGGAATGTATCACGAAGCATGACATTAAGTTATTAAGACATAAAATTTGAGAACTCCACATCCCCAAGTGGCAGGCTTCCTTGTTCTTAGGAATACATCTATTTAAAATTTTCTAATCTAAATTTTGAAGTTGATTATGATCACACTGACAAAAATTCAATTGAGCATTTTCGTAACATTGACCAAAAGCTTTTTCCTACAATCCACGCATCAGCTGCTGAAATCTTCTCATTAACAAAGAAAAAATCCAAATATTTAGATGAATGTAAGATTTCTAAATAAACAAACTCATCTAGTACGTTAGTCTGTAAAAGATAAATTAATCATGAAACATGAAGTTCTGAAACACGGAAGAATTCGTTTTACGACATATATACAGACTTACAGTTTCACATGTAAGACATCTGGTTTCATTAGTTAACGTTCCCTGAAAGATTTCATGAACCCAGGTTGGGTCTGGCGGGCTATTATTCTCATTGTCAATGTTGCCATTAGGTAGGCGACCATTTTGTTTCTCTTGTTTTCTTTCCTCTTGCAAGATATCCGCAATTGTATTTAATAGATAGTTTAAGAACTCATGTGCATCCTGCTGCATGTAGTTATCAAAAAGCTCTAGAAGATAAAACAACAGAATATTTTTTTTAATTAACCAGTTAGTGCTACACTACAAAAGAGATTTTAAAAGAAGTCAAATTTCAAAACCAGTCTTTATTTCACATCTTGAATCATTCATGGCAATACAACACAAACTCAAAATGCGTACTTCATAAACAAAGCCAAAAATACAGGGGGTGGGAACAGGGAGGGCAAGTCAGCTTACATTCACAGAAATCTCTTAGCCGATTAGAATTAACAAAAGAGTGAACCATTCTGCAGGAAAACTAGGGCATGATTTAACAACCTAAACACATGTGTATGTATAGTGCAGCCTGAAATGTTATAGCTTATCCCGACCAGTCTCCAGATGACAGGTCACGATGATCTCCTACAGGGGCTATGCTATCTCTGCCAAGCTTACGTCAATGTCTTGGATAACACAGGGCATCTCAAATAGCATTAGATGTTGATATTTTCTGGAAATGAACTGAGAACTTACAACAGGAAATATTTCATTGTTTGTATGTTCTCTCAAAAAAGAACATTAACAATAAATGCTCAAAACATTGCTTTATTTATTTTCACTTTTAGGGTTTTAAGTCCTCTGCTGCTCTGTCACAAGCACAGTGTCATCAATACTAGAATGAAAATAAGATTGAGATAAAAAAATTTAAAGATACTGAGATACTGAAAAAATTATTTTCTTTCTCAAAGTTCTTTAGGTAAGGTAGTATTTGCAGAAGCCATGTTAAATTAGCCTAAAGTTCTAGCCATGGCAAGAGCAAAGAGGTTTCAAATTAGGACTTCAAGTAATAGATAAGATTTGTCTTTCAAGATCCGAAATATTGCTTCGGGCGATTGGTATATGTGGCACCTTTATTAGTGGTGGCTAACTAATAATGGATTCACTATGCTTTCATTTCCTCTGTTTGTCAGCATAATAGTTTTAGGATTAATTCAGTAGAAGAATAGTTTCACTGGCACATACTTGTGATGCAGAGCAATGATACAGATTAAAACATAAACTTGAACTCTTTTTCTTACATGTCTACTCTCTTGTTTCTGTTCAAATTGGTACTACCCTGAAAACTTCATTTATTGTAGTCCCCTGGGATATCAACCTAAGAAATCCTCTGCTGTCACAAATCCTCGCATCAGGAATGGGACTAAGAAAAACATAAAGGCATTGAGTCAGATATACTAAAAGTTACCTGTTCTCTCTGACCAGGACATTTACCTGCCAATTAAAAAACCATCTATATCACTGGCTAATAACATACAAGTCTTTTAACGTGCAGTCACTTCAACTAATTATAACTTCCAATTTGCTTGCAGTCCAAGAATATATTAAGAGACTGGCCTTCAATGGAGGGATGGTTCCCAAAACTGGAAAGATGAATGAAAAAGATACTCATTGGAGCTTAAGTTTTGGAGTGCACACATGGATTACATGGAAGCTTTACTATCATTCATTTGATGGCATCCAGAAGTAAACTCCAAATAGGAAAAAAAAATAATCCTGAGTTATTACTAAAGTAGGAAGAATCTGATGCTAATCTAGATCATTTGGAGAGGTTAAGTAGTACAATAAGTCAGCCAAGAATATCAACTAAGTAGTTTATTTAACGAACTACTACACTATTTTTGAGAAGTAGGTTCAATTCTGAATCTAGCCAACCGTAAGGTCTTTATTTAATCAAGTAAATGAAGGCAGAACAAGCTCTCTTGCTACAAGTCTCTTGAGGTAAAACACTTCAGAGATTCTTCACAGTGTTACATCATGGACCTCTCAGGGCTATGTGCCCAGTCAATAAATTAGCATTAAGTACAATAGAATGAAAGCTACACATTGTTCATTTTATGATTAGAAGAAATTTAAGCAAACATAACACTATACCTTCAGCTGACTTCAAGCCAACAGCTGCTTCCCAGCCAGTTAAGCTTTAAGGTCATTAATATATGTATGTTCTATTCAGACTTTGAAAATAAAGATGGAATAGCAGCATTGTAGTCTGGAATACATTAGGATTATATTCTCAGTCATCACGCTTGTATAGCTGGACACTGACTGGAACAGCATCTAGCTCGGTGTTGCTTATCTATCTGATTCTTTAACTAACTCTTCGTTAAAGCTCAAAATTATACACCTTTACGATAAGCACTTAATAACATATATGATGTCCTAACAATTTCGATGCCTTACAATTTAGACATTTATTTGTAGAAAAGGTGAGTGTACCACCATTAAGAGAGTCCAAAAGCCAACAAAAGCTGAACTTTCACATGTGATTTCTCTAATGAAGATTTTCTAATTGCCTTCTGTTGCTTAGAATATTAGTGTTATGACATAATTAAGCATTAAAAAGAACAGCTTCTAAAAAGAACTTAATGGCTCCTGTGGTTTACTTTCTGCTTTCCGTTTGAACCATTCTCCACATTCGTCATAGTTAGTCAACAGCCATTGACATAAATGAGCTATTTCCATAAACACATCAACATAGAAGCATACTGACTCAAGTATGCTTACTGAAGAATTGAATGACAGTTTTCTATTCTGCATACGTAAGAAATTGTATTTTACCCAAGAGCTTTTTTTTTAACAATATTATTACAAGTCATAGTATGTGTTGCTGGAGGGGTCACTTCAAATTAGGCATGTATTATAATACTTTAGTTCTTGTTTTTACTATGGAGATGGTCATCATAACATTTGAACACCTTTTTAGGCTGTAGTCTTGGAGAGATTACAACACTGTGAACATGCCTGTTGCAGCAGTGTTAAATATGGTCCCTCATGAAGCTTATTATTATTACAAGATTTCATTTATATTTCATTTATATTTTAACATCAAATTATTAGCCAAAACTACTTTGTGATTTTAAAATTCATCAGTCCTTTAAAAAGTAGGTCAAGCTAGGTATTGCATAAATTCTGAAGGAATTTAAAAATTTTAAGCTAGATTCTTGCAGGGAAGTCTTAATGCCCTTTCCACACGCTCAGTTTGGGAGACTGATTTCTGCATTCAGAGTAATGTTGGTTTTTTTTAAAAACAGAACAAAAGTTTTAGAGTGAATTTTGATTATGAAAATACAACTCAGAGAGAAGCAAAACTAGCAAGCAACTTCATAAGCAGCCACTGAAAATATGTTCAGTTCTACATGAAGAGAGAGGCAAGGATTCTCTCTCAAAATGGCTCAAGGGTTACGGTCTTATTCTAGGGTCACCTCTTCTTTATACTGCAGGACCAAGAACACTTTCCATATGTAGGCATTCCACTATGTCATCTTTAGAATTAAATCATAATTTCTATGGTTATTACACAAGAAAAAAAAAAAAGTTACCATTTTCTTTTCGTAATCTTGTTATAAATTTCTTGGGAGGTATTACTCCAACTTTTTTCTTCTGGGTGGCTATACTGTGGAAGAGATCAGCTAAGCATGTAAGGAGATTCTCCTTTTTTCTTGGTTGACTCTTGTATGCTAAGACTTTGTCTCGAAATGGTCGACAAAAATAAAGTGCCTGAAGAACTGAATTGCAGTAGCATGTATTCCCAAACTATAAAATAAGAGAGAGATTTATTAGCTTCCATTGTATTACTATAGAGAGATAAAGCTAAATCCAAAGTATAAGAGAATGCATAAGCAGGTGCAAATTTCCCGCAAGTCATTTCTTCTTGACTTTAAGATAGTAAACCACACTTCTGTTTTACAAAGATTAACAAGTACACTGTAAGTAAATCCGAGAAAAGCCTAGGCAAATTTGAACAACACTACATGACTTTGTCTCACTTTAAATTTAAATTTATTAGTCATATTTTGCATTTACTTGGGTCAATGTTCAACAAACACCACCAATTTCACAGCTCCCAAAATATATCTATCCATTTACCACAAGTCAGACACAACAGTAAAGAACAGGCACAGCATGACCTTGTACTGTGAAGAAATTCAGCTGTAAATTGAGAGCTTCTCAGACACTTCAGAAATTGGATTCTCCAAATCTTATTAGTTGTGATCAAAGTCAGAAATAACCACTTTAACCTGTTCCTACAATTTCACTTCTCATTTTAGGGTGACAGGACTGGCATTCGGGAGTTTTCTTAAAACAATACCACATGGCTTATTTAGGATTCAGAGCTGTGGCACAGCTGGTAGTTTCAAATCCAGACTAAAAGAAAAGAATGCACAATTTGGCCATGTGCATTTTGAAGGAGGCAAGCCACTGAACTGAAAGGGGGCAGCCAGAAAAGCATCCATAACCCCCTTTGTACCAGGACACTCCAGACGTCCCTCTTCCCCAGGCTCCTTCCAGCTCTTAGGCACTTGGGTCTTGTGATCATTGACACTGTCTCCAGCTCACCCCAACGCTGCAAACCTCCCCATCACCTCTGCCAAGGCATCATGAGCTGTCAGTGGATAGAGCAACTCTCATTTTATGCTGCCCTCCTCCAGTGAAACCTATTATCTAACACTGAAAGTGCGAGAAAAGTCTTTATAAGGCCCTCAGCAAGTAATCCTCCCTTTCAGTTGCAGTCATTCAACCTGCAAATTGAAGCACACACCTACCACGCATTCTGTAAAACGTGAAAATAAAGTTCATATTTACGTTTTATATAAAGATAGTAGCATATATGGGTGGCAAATTCTAAAGGTATATTGTGATGGGGAGACTGTTATATAGCAAAACCAGTGCATTTAATGCTATTTTAAGAGCAGGTTCTTTCAATAGAGAAAAAGAACTAAAAGCTTTTACATTACATTACATTACATATTTTAGGAATAACAGGGAAGTAGCTGATTTATGCTCTCCCCTGATTAAGACAATGACAAACAAGAGCACCATGCAATTTAATCACAAAACTGGAAAGTAAAATGCTTTCCTTTGTTTTAAATTTATGAAATATGAAGAAGTAGTATCTAAAGACCCAAGACACAATCAAAGAATAAGTCGTGTATTTTTAAAAAGATACTAATTACTCTTAAGATCTCCATATTAAAAAGTGAGGAAATTAATGGCCATCATTTTTTTTTTCCTTAAGCTAGGGAAAATTCTTATATTAGCTTTTTTGCTGTCCAAATCTGCACTCAAGCAGGTCAATGAACTTAAAAGGAAAACCAGGGCTTTTTTCCTTAAAGGAAGCACATGAAATCACACAGTAGTTTATGTCAAAACATTTAATATTTTAAGCAACTATCTATGAATTTATAATTAAAAATAGCCATAAAAAGAGAACTGCATTAAAATGTTAAGAAAGCTCTAAAAATTAAATCAAATGAGAAAAGTGCTAAAATTTCTACAGTGCGTGTCAGAAGATGAAAAGGCAGCAAATTAGAAATTTCATAACATTCCAATTTTAAATAGTCCGGTGATAAATGAGCTAGAATGGCAAACATGCAGTGAGAGACAACCAAAATATAAAGTAACAGAGAACTCAGAACACCAAACAAAATTCAGATTAATTTAATATGAATGTATGTTAACCTACGTGGCTGTGGGTAGGAAATAGAAGCAAGCAGATTAACTTCATAAAAGGTTTTCTTCAACCAAATTCAGAAAGACAGTAGGCGAGAGAAGATTGTTTGAAAACTAACTCCCAAAGAAAATTTAATTAGTTCCCATTTATATCTAAAGTATCAGTCTGTATTGCTTCAAAACCTAAAATCTTTTCAAAATAAAAGCTTCCAATCATCAAAAAATTATAACGTTACCTGTACTAAACAACAAGGGGGGAAAGGTGGGGAGATTTCCAGACTAAATACATAAGGAATTTGTTACACAAAAAAATGTTGGTCTTACCACCATTATTAATTTACATCCCATATTTGCCTGCAACACAAAAGCATGCCCCTCATTTAGAAAACACCCAAGACCTTGCTCCAGTCTTCCCCTCCTCCCACCACCTACTGAACACCTATTTTTCTGCTTCTTCAGTACTCAGCTCTCCTGCTAACCCTGCCAACGGGCACTTCCCTTCTCCCTTCACTTTACACTCAGCACTGCCTCAGAAGCACAACACTTGTATCAAGAGGTGCAAGGGCTGCACTCTGTAATGAAACGCTTGTCAAGTCTCCCTCAAAACAATAGGAGAAAACTGTAATAAAGACCATCATTGTAATTTTGTATCTTAAACTGTCAGCCTGTAAGGGACAGTGAAACTCCTCTATCTCATTCAGGGGAATGTTACAGAGACCATAGAGCAGAGTTATTTTAACTCATGTTTTCAACTGGTTTATTACTTGCCTCCTTGTTTCTGTGTGAAGCACCTTAAGATGTGCACATTTAAGAAAAGTAAAAAACCAAATTTTATTTTTTTTCAGTTCATATTGTTCTTCTGTTCTAAATTCTGAGAAAGCAGATTATTTCCCTTCACAAAAATACTGCACACACCTCTTTTGCACACAGCTTTTTTTTTTTTTTTTTTAAATTCCCAAACAACACCCAAGCCTGTGTAGAAATATTAAAAAAAAAATAAAAAGAGACAATCAGGAAAGTTACAACAAAACCACCACACACTCACCAAGGCTTACAGCCTTATAGTTTACTCTTGCAATGCAACATACAACTGGGAAGAAACTTCGTTGCTGAACCCCATAGACCTACAAAAATTAACGAGAAGTCTAAAAGAACTAGATCTGCTTAGAACACCGTCCTTGTGCAGCATTAGGGCTCCTCCCAGCTCTGATGCACTGGCACCTCTGACAACTTTTATTTGTTGCAATGGGCCACCCAGTAAATAGGATTTCTCCAAAACACACATCCATTGCAAGAGACTGAATAACCAAACTTTCTGCTCCAGAAGACTGGTAAACTGCTGAAGACCTATCAGGGTAGCTCTTATGAGATTAAAAATGTTCATTGTTTCATTTTTATTGGATAAAATAATTGATTTAATTTGTGAAGCACATCGATTTGAATAGTTTGCATTACTGCACTGTAGAGGGAAGGAAGAATGACAAGCAGACTTGGGTGTTCTTGATTGTCCATGTGCATGGGACATCATACTAATAACATTTTCATCTTGTCACATATCTTAAATATTTCCTGTTGATTTAGTGAATGGTATTGTCCTTTCAAGAGAAAGCTGAATTTTCCATTTAGAGCTTTCACTGACGGAATCAAACATCCCATCAAACATCTGGTCTTCCATATGGTTCCCATAATTGCCCTTTCTTAATTATTCTTCTACCTCTCAAACTCTTCTTTCAGCACATCCTCTGAATAATCCATAGATTCCGCCACAAAGCTGGAGAGGAGATGAGACAGTGTTTCTGCCTTCTCTTCTTTTACACTACCTCTGGATAAACACTACATGTACAACTGACAGATCTCTCCTTCAGAATTGTCATCTTTATCTAAAATTCTGTCCTGCATTCCAGACATCTGAAATGGCTAGCTATCACACAGCTAGAAGAGAGCTATTGATTTCCACATTATCTCAATTTTTCCCATTACTCTGGACATGGTTAGAACAAACAAAATCGATAAACAAATTAGAAAAAAATAGCAGTAAATGTTGATGACCCTTTAAGAGCTTCACTTCTTGTAATTGATGTAAAACAATTACAGAAATCAATGCAGGCATAAATTGTGATTTCTATCACTTCTCAATCTAATAGAAGTCTTAGTTTATTATTTGATTATCTAATATTTCTTTTAATTATCTCTGTCCATCTTTCTGAATGGCTACTGGCCATAGTTTGCTAGTGAAGAGGTCACTACTTTTCCTGACAGATTTAAATTCTGCAAGGTCATTACACGTTTGTGGCATATCCAGACTGTGTTAGTAAATACAATCTGTAAAACAGATCTGAAACCCATCCATGCAACAATACAACTGAATATCCTTAGCCAGCCACTGTACCTGGAAAACACAGCACCAGTGTGCCATAGGTGTAATAAAATTCCATTTTGCTACTTGCTACAATTCAAAGATGTTTGGTTCATAAACCCTTATTGCTTTAATCTAAAAAAGGAACATTCCTGTACTACACAGAGAGTTAAGAGAGCTGAATCCCTCTGATGTGTATGGTTGAAGACAATGACTTAAAGACAGACCTACCCTCAAATTTCCTACTCCCTCTGGACTACAGAAAGCCAGAATTTGTTGACATTCATTATATATTAGGAAGATTGTCTTTAATTGAAACTTTTCTTAAGAGTACAAAAGATGTAAAACTTTTAGGTGTACTATACAATTTTACTGTTAAGTCTTAATGTAATACATCATGTATACAACTACAGTTATAACAGAGACACTGTATAGACTAAAGGACTGGTCTTTTCAATTTAATAAAATACATAAAATAGAACAGATACTATAAAAAATGTAAATAGAGGTTTTGATGACCTGAGCTTATTAATATTCTCATAATATACGTATTCGGCCCTATCAGATGTCAACAAAGAAAAACATTAGTGGAAAGTAATAACCCACTTCTAGACAAGTTTAATTATTGACAGAAAAGATTTTATATTCAACATTTCTTTCTCCAAATACACAGCAAGTAGGAGAGGTGAGCCAGAGTACTATTCTGGATATTCCAAAAGCTTGGGCCACTTCATACTGAATTATTTTTTTTCTAAACTTTATTTTCCATGTGTTCTGGGCTAATCTGAACAAGAAGCCTCATATATGACTTTAAAAAGTCAAAGTGGAAATATATTATATATATAGTATAATATATAATTATACTTACCCTCAGTTTAACATTTGAAATTAATCGTTAATTTAGGGAACTGGAATTTCTCTCTAATGCGTAATGTACAGGTTGATCTACATTAGTTTGTTTATTGTACGACTATTTGGGTCATTTTAATGAGAGCTTGTATTACATTACCCAGGAGGAAGATAAAGACTTAAGCTAAGGCACTGTTCAAAAAAATGCTAAAGCATTATTGAAAGACAAGGCCAAGACAACATAAGCTTTTTGCACATTGCCATAGTCTATAGTACAAGCTTTTAGAAGTGCCAGCCTCTTGAGAGAAAAGATGGGTGGGCTCATCAAACACTTAGATATCTGAGTGTTTAAGACTACTGTGAAGATCTTGCAAGTTTTCAAGTATTTCTTTTGAGTTTCTCTCCCTCTCTCTAGAAGCATTTAAATGCCAAAAACGGAGGATACATTCAAATCTATAAAAGGACAGTGAGGCAGCAATTGTATCAACCAGTATTTTAGGTACAAGCTAACCTTAACAGATTTTGTATATAGAAAACAAATATTGCAACAGTATTCATTCTATTTTTAAATATGAGCAGAGAGACAAATCCTCTCTTGACTTGGAAGAAATGAGGAAAACAGGTTATCCATCAATAGAATAACAGATTTGAGAAAATACAGCAACAGCTTTGACGGAAAAGCTAAGCTCTGCTACAGAACTAACAAGTATTAACAGTTAAACTACTGTATTTCCTCTTTTCAGAGAAACAACGTGTGATTTTGAAGATATTTCAACTTTCATGAGAAAGGAAAAGATCACCAATAGCATTTGAGATGCATGTAAATTAGCTTATCAGCAAGAGTGTTTACTGACTGCAGAGTGCATACTGGGATTGCAGACTCCTGAACCATGTCAGTACTATGAACCTAGAGGCAGAGACATATGTTATAGTAGCAGGACAACATTAGAAGTAATCAGTTTCATTAAGAAAAGCAAGATGACAGGTCTTATTAAATCAACTTGGTTTAAATATGTACTTTCTGAAGCCCAAATAAAGAAAATCATTTAATATTTAATTTCAGACAGAATAATGCAATTCTAACAAGATATACTTTTCACGGGTAATACCAGAAATTAAATTTAAATTATTCCTTAAAACTAATGATTGAATCGAATGATTCAGTATGTTTTTCCCAACATTGCCTTCCCCTTTGGGCTGAGTATTTTTTTTAAAATCTTAATACAAATATCAGAGGTGAAGACTTCATATCATCAACAGTCTTTCACAGATTTTTTTCTTTTATTATATTTATTTACTTATTATGAACTACAAGCTACATAAACAGCTTTTTTTAGACTTACACAATTTCATAGCAAGAAAGTGATTTAAAAATACCCTACAATTAGTAAAATGAAATAAAGTATTAAAAACATGGCCTGATTTCAGCAATTATTTCAGTAGCATATTTCAACAAATACAGTGAATATCAAAACACATTTCAAAAAGTATGTATATTCAGTGACTATATCTTTCAGCATTTTAATAATGCAGTCAGTTGCAGTCTGGCAATTTAACAAATCCACTCACAGCATTTCAAAGTAATGAAGTTGTGGACTGAAACTTACATTAACCAAACCAAAATAGTGCTCATTGACTGGAAATTGTTCCGGACCAATCTCTTTCTCCAAAGCTGAGGCATTGGCGCCCTAGAAAAATCAAAAGCAGTAAAATATTAGTGTTGCAACTACATACACAGTGAATTTAACTAGTTGAGGAAAAGAAGTAAAGTTTTTTTGGTAAGGACAAATGACTTGTCTCTGAAAATTCTGATATGAGTTAACTACAGTCATGGGTGGTAGCTCATACATGACAGGCATCTAAAACACAGTCACAACTATAAGTCTGGCCACAACAGACATCTGGAGTAAAGACCTGTTGCTCAAAAAACAGCTGTGTTTTATATCATTTGTACTGAGATACAGTAATGCTTTTCACATTATATTTCAATCCTGATTCTTACATTTGTATACTGTCCAGTTAGCTCAGTCAGATGTTTTTAATCACCAAACACTTGTTAATTTATTCTGATTTACCTACATGGGAAAAAAACCCAACAACCCTCCCCTCTTCCTCCCCCCAAAAAACAAACACCAAAACCAACCAACAAAACTCTGGTCACAACTATAGACCTTGCCAACACCAAACCAGTATCTTTGGCTCTGTCTCACTGAAGCTCTCTAGTCAGGTGGGAGGAAAACAAAAATAAATGATACTAAATAGTGAAAACAGATTAAACACCTTGCTGTCTCTACCCTGAAGGGTAGGTAGAAAGTGGCGTTTGTGACCCAGCTCAACAACCATACATGGCAAATTAACTAAACTCGTTTAGTTAGTTTGTTGCTTAATGCAAAGAAAAGCTTATAGGTAGGATAATATTAGCTGTGAATGCAGAAAAATTGGTCCTTTTGAGTTCTCTGTTGATTTGCACTCTCAAGATGTAGATTGCCCACAAAGTCATTTCACACAGGTCTTAGAGCAGACAACAAGTCTTCTGTGCCATAACATAATACTTAAGACACTTGTAATAAAGAACCTAACACTTTTACCACCAGAAAATTATTTCAACAAAATTTAAAATACCTTAGAGATATGATTTTCCAAATATGTTCTGTTCAAAACCATCTAAAAGTTATAAAATTTTCACATATTTTCATGCAATTACACTGTTTTGATGTTCTGTATTTATTATTTTCAGAGCAGATCATCTTTAGTAACAATTGCATTAATATACTATTGCAAAGCAGGTGATATAAGCCAAATGGTGAGCTCCTCTTAACAAGTGTGATTCTCATACTGTGCAGCACATTTCAGAAAAAGTTACGAAATGCAGATTGTTCGTAGGAAGCGAAGAGATTGGTTGTCTTTCTTACACTGAAAACATAAAATGTTCAAAGGGGTTTGTTAAATACCTTGAACTTTGTAATATCAAAAAACAGCACAGTGCAGCTAGTGTTGGAGTGCATTACAAATGCTGCAGCCTTTGCCCCATAGATCTGTTGGGTCTGAACCGCAAAAAGAAGTCAGAGAAGGTAACTTTGATTACTCGGTGGTTCCAACCGGTGATTGTTGACTGGACTGGTGCAATAAACAATGGGTTTCAAAGGAAATAGAGGTTTTTATTTTGAGAGAGAAAAACCTCTACTCTGGAACATTCAGAGAATAACCCCCCCTAGATTTCTATGAGCGCTTACACTGACTGCTTTTAAAGAAAAGCAAATGTACCCAACCCTACATCCCTTTTTCTGCGTACACTACCACTGACATATGTATATATGTCCTGTATCAAACTAATACGTGAGCATAAATATTCCAGTCTAAAGTCAGACCTAACTGAAGCTAAAATAGCACACAGGAAAGAATCTTAAATGTGACTCCTTCCCAAGAAGTTCTTTCTTTATACCAAAGATGTAACAAATAGCCCTGGACATTACAACAATAAAATTAAATCAAAATCACAAATTGCATTAAAAACAGCACACAGGATTTCACACATTAATTACAGATAGGGTGAAGGGAGATAGAATTAAAATTAGGACTGTTTCAAAATGTATAAAATTAAAATGAGACTCTATTACGTGGTATCTGCCATGATGCAATTGTGGTACTGCAGAGTTTAAGTGCAATTACACAGTCCAGTTTAGTAGTTCTCAACTTGGAAACACATGGTCAAAGGCCCATCAGGAGGTAAAAACTTTAACTAAATAGAGTAAAAGACACTCTAACTCCACACCTGAGACAGGACATATCCGCTCCAGTCACAACCCAGCCCCAGCTGCTTTTTCATCAGTCATATCCCCTGCAATTATCCAGTACGATAAAGCCTCTCCTTTAAGGGGGATTTGGCTGCAGGGCTTACTAGTTTAGAAGTCAAATTTTACTCAAATGGTGAAGAAAAGGGGTATAAAGCCTCATTTAAGATTAAAGCACTCCACAGCTTCTGAATATTTAGTTTTGCAGCCTTATTGAAATACACCCATGAGCTCTGGCAAGGTGGGTGTTATTTACAAAACTACAAAAAAAAGAAACTGTGGAGGCCTTTTTATCCTATTGTTAAATTCTCTGGTTTTTAAAAAATAAATTCAAGAGCAGGCTTTTAGGAAATTTTTTCTTTTTGCAGCTAGGGTGGAGTAGCTGTTATTCTACCTTTGAAAGGAAGAATATTATTGTACGAACTCCGATGTTTCTAGTTTTACAGAACACTGTATTTAGTTTCTAGCACAATAAAGATCCTGACTTGGTAATAAGAGAGACCTGCTAAGATACTCCAATATTGTTATAGTTTTCTGGTTATTCAAGGCTGTTTCATTCAAGGCTTGGACTTTCATATGATTTCAAAGCAGGGTATTACCTATATTTGAATGCAGTTGTTTATGAATGTTTTATTACTACAAGCCAGCATGGATGTTTTACACCAAAATAAAAACCCTCAAGCTACTTAGGCTTCCCTCTATAGCTCTCTTTTTGTCTGTCATTACGGGTGTTACTCCTCCCCCCAAAGCAGTCATTTATACTGTGCACAGCATGTTGGTTGCAGAGAATGAAAACACAGTATGCAGCAGAGGCTTGAAAGAGTATGTTAAAATGCATGTTCACATCTGACCTGTAAAAGCTATTTTAAAACCTAACTATCCCTCACTATAAAATGTTTCCCATTCAGCATTAAAGTACACAGTCCCAACTGATTCTCCAATTATGAAAATACAGAGGGGAAGCACTGCAACACCACCAATTATCATGGTACCATATGATCTGGACAAGAAGACAGCAGAGGTTGAAGGCAGAAGTGCAGTCTCTTTCCATCAGTCTAGATGGACTTACTGGACTCGGAATCTAGACTTGGGAGGTGTCAGTCTGTGATGTATCCTACAGAGTATAGAATTTCTTCCTCAGCCACTGAACTGGGATGCGGGAAAATCCCAAAACTGACATCTCTTTTGGGGGGCTGTCTGAACAACACATAAAATAGATGCTCGGTCCCTGCACAGCGAATTGGTTTGGACGTTGTGCAGGGGACAGAAAGGAACATCATCTCCTTTGGTCAGTATACCCACCTCCAGTTCCCCCACCCTTTTTAGCAGGAGCGCGTAAGGTCATTACCCAAAAATGGGAAGGAACAGAGGCACAACAGAAGTACAAAAAAGGTAGTATTACAATAGTAATAGCATTTACCAGTTTTTGCATCATATTAGTATAAAACCTATATATCACCAAACATTGCCTTACATTACCCCCCTTCCAGCACAGAGATAATTATACAGGCATACAGAACACCTGTTTGTCATAGTTAACACAATATAGAATTGTAAAGTAGAAAGTTCAGTAACTAATGTGTGCATACAAGAAAACACTATGAAATCAAGACTTGCTTCACTTTTATTTGTTATTGAAAATGATCCTGAAAACAGTTACAGTATCAATGATTATACAAGAGTGTTCTCTCACATAATAAAACTCAGGTGTAAAGCTGAACTGCTGTACACTTCATTGCATGTGTAACTTCAAACTGATGCAAGATAAGTTATGAGTAATCTCAGTTTAGCCATGTTCAAATCAGTGGAATATTTATTGCTTTTCTCCCGCATCAAGTTCAAGAAAAAGGCTATATTACTGGATTTATCAAAGATCTCCTTAGATGCTAATTTCTTAATGAAGGGTGAAGAATCTGTGTTTACCATGGAAGGCCTTTAATTAAGTTTCTCAAATTTTATTTTCAAAATACCTTGAGGTTTCTATAAATTAACACATTTAACATTAACCAAATGAGTGTTTTATTTCAGTTTACTGGAATCAAAGCACAGAAAACACAGCGGGAGAGGGAAGTATAGTATCTTTTAATTAAGTACAGTTGAATTTTCCAGATTTTCAAGTTTTACAGATATACATTCTCTCAAAGTTCTAAAATAAACTGAAAAAAACCCTGACATTGTACATTTCAATGGAAAATAAAAAATAAATAAAAATCCAGACTTATGACCGGGATTTTTGTTTGTTCGTTTAGTTTTTCACTTGCTAAAGCAATAATATGGTTAAATGCCATTTCCAGTTTTATTATTGCCTTTTCTCACTGCCTCAGAGATCACACAATTGTGGTGCTATGTTAAACTAGTACTCCTGAGACACACTAACAGCTAACATATGGAAAACTAATTGGAGACAATCTGTAAAGCTGTTGGTGCTTACGATCTCACATACACACTTTGGGTTTCAGAGGGGTTTTGCCAGATTAGTTCTAGGCTGGCTCTGTGACTGAACACCCAGCTGCAGCTGAACTACACTGCATGATTTTGTTTCCTCCAAAAGGAATCTAATTTGTGCGCTCTAAGACCACTCCAAGATGCAAACCAAAGTACGGTAAATTGGGATGCCTGGGAGAATCGCTTCAGAATTGCACACACCTTACCTGAACTGAAACACTAACGAAAACGCACTCAGCATTTGCCAAATTTAAAAAAAAAGCCATCCTGTATTAAAAATACTGTCTGAAAACATGTCAGCAAGTGGACAAACAACTGCTGTTTTAAAGTGTCCTACCTTGTTGTTATCATCCAACCCAGCAGGCAGCATTTCTCTTACAAAGACTTGATTCATAAATAGCTGAATGTGCTTTGAAGATTACACTGGTGTTAGTCTTACTGGAATGGAGTAC